CCCCCACCCCCCCAAACGAACATATGACGTTTCTCGTGGAAAAAATCGATATGTGAGGCTTCCCTAAGTTAAGATGTGCAAAATTAATCTAATACGCGGACGTGAGGAAAAAACTGAGTTATTAGGTTTTACTTTACAGTTTAAATTCGTTTTTCATCTGTATCTGTACTTGTTCACAAAAGGCATATATAGTTTTTACTCGTGAATTTAGCGTGTGTTTATCATGATGTATTGTCACGACCGTGTACTAGATTTACCACATCTTAAAGTCCCGCAGCCTAATCATCTTCAGTGAATTTCCGCATATAGGGCCCCGGATCATATTTACCAGAGCAGAGGAGCTTGGCTTCAAAAACACAGTTGGAGTTATCGCTCCAGTTATTATAGAGTTTACTGAGCCAAAACAGTCATGAGCCCATAGAAATAATAGACACAGAATGGCGCGCTGATGACGAATCATGTCTCCACTTTTTCACCGTGCGTGCCTTTTGAATGCGCCATTTTGAATTTTGGCCTGGAGTCTATGTCTATTATTTTTATGGTGCAGCTGCACCCGAATTTTTTAGTTGATATTTAAAATTCGGGTTGAGACTGCACGCAGGTCATGTGACCATTTTCGATTCTATCGGTGTTCCGAAAATCCGGAGTACTCCGAACAGTAACTGGAAAAGGCTGGGACAATATTATAGAAATATTAGACCTATTTTATTATTAATTATTATTAATATTAGATATTATTCTATGGACAATATACAGAAAACGAGGCTGCGTCCTAATTCAAATTGCTTTTTATGTTTATTTTTGCATGAAGCAGCCTTAGGCTTAGCATTAATCTTTTTGGCACCAGTATACTTTTATATATATGTTCACAGTTGTTTATAGAACAATAAAGATAAAGAATATCTGTATGGTGACTCGTATCTTACGTTAGAAACTTTGTGCTCCGCGATGCAGACGCCGATGCTTTTGCAAATAGCAAAAATTTATTAACTTCGTATTTATTAACTTCGTATTACAAGGGCATATATCTCTGTTTCGTGTTTCAATAAACGCTTTTAAGTTTATGACAGTGAAGCGACTGCATTTTACGAGAATACAAGCGAAAAAATCCTGTTGGGGCCAATACTAAATAGAATTACTGCAATCAACACCGTCCTATGCGCGAGGAAGCCCTAAAATACAATATATAACTCTTCAAACAATAGGCCTATACCTACCAACGATTATTCTACTTTGAGCATTTCCAATCCTAATCGTAGACGTAATTAAGGCCAAATAAAAAAATACTTGGTTAGCGTCGTACTCTCACAAATTGAGGTGGTTTTTACTCGTTTTTTAATTTTTTTATATTTTTGCGGGGATGGAGGTGGTTTTTCCACCATATCGGCAGACCTGTCAAGTTTTGAAAAATTTTATGCGGGAAGGTAATTTCCTTGGGTTAGTGTCCACGAGGCGCCACCATAGGTGGCGCGCCCTGGGGGAAATTTTGAAATTTGAGTTCCCCAGATCGCAAAATTGCCTTTCCGAGGTTTTTTTTCCGCCTTTTTCGAAGCACAAACCTTATGTGTTCATGCTATAAAAATATGAAATTTTATTCGTTGCTCCTTCCCAAACGGCAAAAAATAGCGCTCCTCAGGCTCAGGAGTCTCCCAGTTTTTTGTCTCTTTTTGATATGCGATTGAGACACACATTTTCAAGGCTTCTCAAGACTTCTTGGTACTGGCGTTGGCAAAAGAATGCATTGAACATTGTGCAAATGAAAAGAAATGGGAGTAATTGCCCCACAGGAAGAAACCTTGACAAGTTAAGTTTATTAAGTTTAAAAATGCGGGAAGAGATCACTTCATGCGTGATGTGTGAAAGCAAACAAAAATTCGGGAATTTGACGGTAATTGCGGGAAACTTGGAAGGTCTGTATCGGTGATATTTTTTGTACAATCTCGTTCCCCGAGCCTGCGATCCTCGGGAAGGAACGGGAGGCTCTGGGATAATCCGTTTCAGGGAGGAATGATTGGCCGTTGAAATGGAATGCGTAGTTCAATCGTAGCCAGAATTCCTGGCTTCCGGCAACGGATTATCCCAGAGGCTCGCGTTCCTTCCCGAGGGTCGCAGGCTCGGGGAACGAGATTGTTTTTTGTACTGATGTTGCGAAGGCCGCCATTTTGATATAAGAACCTTGTACTCAAGCCCACTCGCACCTATCGATCAGTATATAGCGCGAAGGTCTCAGCATGAGAATAATTTCAAATATTAAACTGTTTTAAACTGTAAAACGAAGAGATTTACATAAAAAAATTCAGAGGCGGCAGAAATCGAGAGGCGTTAACCAATTTTTTTTTATTTGGCCTAAATGATATATCTTGCTAATTCAAAAGTCAACTCGCTTATAGTTGGGCCAACTCGGCTAGCTGGGACAACTCCCTCCATGTAATCCGGCCCGGCCTTGTTCCTTAATTTTGAAAACAATCTTTTTCCTCTGGACAAAGATATCCCCCAAAATAAAATAGATCAATAATCTTAAATCTTAAAATTCGGTCTTACAGTAACTGATGGATAATACTCCTTTGGCCTTAAGGCTTAACAGCATTTCATATTTTCATATGACACTTTGGCCTTTGCCTTTGGAACTGAATATCCGAAGGTGAAGTCCCGGTTTTGTGCAGACTTAATCCATGGACCATGGCCCTTATATCGGTATAAGAAAAAGGAATGAAAGAAAAAATGCAGGGTTCGGAATTTCAAGAAGTTACGACTTGCGATACCGTCGATACGCGAATTAAAAACTTTGCGGAAAAATTTCGCGATCCTGTCATAACAATAGTGTTTTATTTCTTCATCATTTATTCGGTGTCATTGGTAATTACATTCCTTATTTAAATTTATACTCTATGCGTGTTTCAACTCTTATTTTCATCTTTTAAGTCCTGAACGAAGAAAAGCAATTTAAGCAACCTTCTCCTTGTTGAGAATTTTATGTCCAGAAATCCGGTACACTAATGGTCGTAGATAAACATCCATCTTGATTTTGGGGAAGAAACCCAACCAGAACGGCCGCTCTCCCCGCCCGGAAATCGTCCATGTCAGCTTCAAAAATACCACACTCCTTGCGTTTTAGTTTATTTCAGATTCCCCGAATAATGGCTGATGTTTCAGTTCAAATATCGTGAAAATTAGCTCAGTCTGTTAGATTTTGTCGTACTGGATACTTTCGTTTTGTGTTTAGTTGAAATTTCGGTAAAAATTGCATGCTCAGATAATGACGCATATCCAATCTTCCCTGAGCCATTTTATTGTAACGCTATTGAGGGGGTATCTTTTCTCTAGAGCGGGCGTATAGTGATATGGCTAGCGAGGCGTTGCTTACTTAGTATCGACTCAAAATACAAGCTTTGTTGGGCTTTAAAAATGGCCATATGCATTCGAAATAAAGAGATATTGTTGAGGAAACATCGGCTAAATAAATGGCTATGTTTTTCCGTCGAAAAGAAGGCAAAATGAATCATATATTCGCTTTTTATGGACACATATCTTGGTGAAAGCACACGAAGGCAGTGTTTGGGAGTCGAGAGTATGCTGTGGTTTTTGCCATGATTCCGTTCGAATTTAGCATGGAATTTTGATAATTCACATGGAGTTGAAAAATTGTGAGTTCTACAGCGGGTTTTTGTGAAGAATGTCAAATTTTAAGACGACTTTCTAGCGAATATTTTGTTAAAATTTTGGCAAAATTATATGCAAAAAATATGGCGGCGACGAAGGAAGGGCGGAAGAGGATAGCCTCGATTCGATGTAATTGTGAACTAAGGAGAATTCCAATTTAATCAGAATAGAAACCTTGCCATTTTTAAATGGTTTTTTGGGTAAAACAAATACGAAATTACCTTTTTTATGAAGTTGCGATTGAAGTTGCATGAGATATGTTTATATGTCAAAGAGTTCTTGGAAAAACTAATTTCACTAAATTTCAAATGAGTCAAATGTTCATAACTGAAAATGTAAATTCTCAGTAAATATGTTCTTTCATTTTCTAGTGCACCCCCCGTGAAATACCACCTGCTTTTCAGGCAATTTTCTCGCACCCTCCGTTCGAAGGTCCGCAATTCGCGCAACAACTTTATATGCTTACGAATTATTAGTCACTACAGAATCCTACCCGACAATAGTCAAAGATGTCTTTCTCAATGGAGCAGCGAATTCAAGCAGAAAGTCGAGGGTTTAAACCTAATGAGGTATGTATTTAGCTCTCTTCTTTCTTCTGTTAAAAATCGGGAGTGTTTTATGGCATGGTTTGTGTTTTGGAGAAGAGAAACCGTACGTAGACTATATCGGAAGGAAAATGATTGGCCTCCATTTTAAACCATGTGCTTTTGTTCTGCTTTGTACAGGTATTGGAACTTAATCTTGATAACTGCAGAACGACTGGGCAAGTCGAAGGCCTTACGGAAAGTTTTATAAATTTGGACTATCTATCGTTAAATAACGCTGGTTTGACTTCGTTAAAGAATTTCCCTAAACTACCGAATCTCAGACGCGTGAGTGCAATTCTATTTTCACTTGATCCCGTGCTTTCTTCTCCCAAAACGTTTCTCTGTTGACCGAAATATCGTGAAACTACGGCGATATTTCGTAGATTACCTCGCTAATGTTTTTTATTTTTGTTGTGTTTCTGCTGCAGCTCGAACTAAGTGATAATCGTATCTCATCCGGACTGCATCACTTACAAGGCTTTCAAAAGCTCACGCATCTAAATTTAAGCGGTAACAAAATCAAAGACCTCGAAACGCTCAAGCCTTTGGTACGTATAAAAGCGATGTTCTCCAAAATTTACACCTTATCCTCGTTTCTAGCTACGTTTAAATACTACTAGAGTATTTCTACCGTTGGAAATAACTTGATTTCTACGTTATTATTGCATTTTTAGGCCGAATTAGCAAACCTAAAAAGTCTTGACCTGTACAACTGCGAAGTCACAAATGTTGAAAATTATCGAAGCGAAGTCTTCAAGTTATGTTCGTCGCTTAAATATTTGGACGGTTACGACAAGTGAGTGTGTTTTAATCCCGTATTCGAGCAACTTTTATGTTATTCTAGCGATACCTAAGGTTCTTGCAAGCAATTTTAAAGAGAAATTATAAAAAATTGGTGTTTGCACATCTCGCATACGTTTCCTTTGCGGCCTTTTGTATGGCGCGCGCGGGTGCAATGTTAAATTTAAATATGTGAGCATTCTCATATGATTTGCCGCTCTTTTCTTGCCAGATTTGACAAAGAAGCGGACGAAACAGACTCATCTGCGGACGATGATGACGACGGTGAGGGTTTATAGCTCATAGAAACGAATAATTTGTCGTGTTATCTAAAACCTTTTGAGCTAAGGCAGGCAAACAACGGCATATTTCATTACTATCAAGGGCTTTTCACTGAGCAATTAAGAAATAGCGGAGTAACTCTATTTCAAGCTGCATCAAATTCAAATTAACATGTTAGTGATGTAGTTTTCACAGATTCCTATGCTGTACTGGTTCCTGTTTTAGCACAAACGTTCGATGCAGCTTCTGTTAGTGCTTTTATCCCCCGACAGACTGGCATTCTTTTTTTGTGTTTGAGGGGAAAGCCATTTTGGGGTGGCCTTGTTTTACTTTCGTAGGAGACCTACCCTTTCTGTGCCCGTTAGAAACGGTCAATCTTAAAAATATGTATACAGTCTCATATATTTCTCAAATTGAATTGCAAGACAAGTTAATATATGTGGTTGACCTAAATATTCTTGACAGGGGGGTTGCGTCAGTCCTGAAAGAGTTAATTATGTGTGGGTGTTATGAGAAGCCATTCTAATGCATCGCATGTTATATTTTGATGAAAATTTATATGGAATTTTAGTTTTGGAATATGGAAGCACTTAAATATATTTTTATCTAATCTAGATGAAGGAAGTGACGGAGGCGACGACGATGATGTGGGTATGTAAAAATTCCCTTTGTATAGCGTTAAAATGATGAAAACAGCGAGTGGGGTGGATAACTGTGTGATAATGCGTAACTGGATGTCCACACACACAAAAACTTGATTTTGAAATTAGTGTCAACCCATAATTGAGCCGCAGTGCGCCCTACTTATTTTTTCACTTGTCTAACGCCAGTCGATTTTACTCGTCAATTGGGAAGCTCTGCAGCTTAATGGGTTAAAACTGAAGACAGTCTAAACTGAAGACATTTGTCAGAATTCTAAACCTCAAAGTGTTGGCATTTTGTTGATGCACTTTGTTCTACTTATAAAAATACTGTAGATCAAATTGACTTTCAAATGAATGGGTCGTTCCAGAAAAGATCCACACTCCCCCCACAGAGGAAATTTCTGCCATCCGGAGGGGGAGGGAGACAAAATTGTTTCTGATAATAGTAAATGTATTAGGACATCCGAAGGGGGTAGGGGGGTTAACTCCCAATTTCCTCCGTGGGGGTGGTATGGATGTTTTCTGAAATGACCCAATGCGAATGAACTATATTCTATTGTTAAGCCTGCAATAATTGTGGGAATATTTGGACAAAAAATTTGTAAATCAATTTTGCTTTCCTATAATTATACAAACCAGCTCTTTAATCTCTTAATTTGTGCTAATTTATGTTAATTATGTTAAATATGTTAGTTGTGTTAAATATGTTAAATATGTTAAACACTGTATTGTTGGTATCCAGGAGAAGATGATGATGAAGATGGTCTTGATGACGACCTTGATGATGAAGAAAATGAGGTTGATGATAACGAAGATGATGATGATGATAACGAAGATGAGGACGATGATGATGACGACGATGATGATGATGACGCTGATGATGAGACAGGATTAGAATACTTACAACGAAAGGACCTCCAGGTAAGGAACTTCAGCTATTAACTAGGGGACCACCCCCCGAGAATATGATGCAGATGATAAGACAGGATTGGTCTAGATAAGGCAGGGATCCCCCCACCCCCAAATTCTCCCTCCCCAGAATCTGACAAGGATGCTGATTTTGAGACAGGTCTAGAATTTCTACAGAGAGATAACTACTGGTCCTAGACAGGGTGGGGATTCTACCCTCCCTAAGATTCCCCCTCTTCTCTTTCAGTCTATTGCATTATTTAGTTGCTATGAATTCACTAAATATAAGAGGTTTCCCATTACCTAATGGTAGAGTTCAATGTTAACTGCACAGTTATTGTTGATTTCAAGTCACTTTTCAACGCGCGGGTCCCAAGTTCGTTGCAAACTTGCCAATTACGTTTCCAAGTTCGGAAATTAGGCGTGAACTTCGCAACAATGTTCGCAAGTACATCCCAATGTTTGAACTATTGTAAACAAATGTTCATAGTTCACGTTGAAATTAACCATTCAATGGAAAGTTCTTGGTCCAGTGGTCTACCAAGAAGGTTTGTATTTCATTGAATTGGTTATTATTATTGAGTATGAACATTTGTTTACAAACGAAGTTCCAACATTGAAATGTACTTGCGAACTTTGTTGCGAAGTTCGCGCCAAATTTTCAGAACGTAAGTTTGCAACGAAACTTGGGACCCGCGTGTTGAAAAGTGACTTGAAATCGACAATAACTCCAATGTCAAAACAATTAACTGGCTTTCGTAATTGTCTTGATTAAACTTGTGCAAATGAAAATGGCTTAATAGGCAGGCAAGAACCTTTTGGGTAGGTTTTGACATCTGGTATCCAAAATCAGGATAGTAGGATACTGCAAATCTCTAACCAGGCTTTTAGCCAGAAGGGCGTGCAGGCGTCCTGGGACGCCCCTAGAACAAAAAATGGATGCCTTTGGACGCCCAAGTTCTGGGGAAAAAGGGAGATTATTTTCAATTATTTCCCTAAGTATATTAATATATCTGAAACGAAATAGCTTCAATTCTCATTATTATTATACATTTCACATTTTGATCAATTTGATGGTGTACCTGGCTGAATGAAAATGTCGTAGTTAAGTAAAGAAGCATAGCGGCACAAACTCACAAAGCCAAGTGTGTTTGAAACTTTTCGAACGAGCTTGGAACAGATACTGACATGAAGTAACGTAAACTTCAAAGGTTTTCCAGAGGAACGTTTTCTCAACACACCCCTTTACTGTAGATGTATCGTTGCACCAAAATTGGACGCCCTCTTTAGGACCCGGCCTGGCTAAAAGCCTGTCTCTAACCGTTGAGAGTTTGGCAATCGAGTTTGTACAAAATTCAAGGTTTGTTGTACCTGACTTGTACGAAAACGTTCTCTGTATAAATGAGTCAATGTTCTGTTCAGGATGAAGAAGATGATGGTGATGATTTCGAACCCTTGGAAGACGGAGAAGAAGACGATGATGAAGACGACGATGATGACGCCGATGAAGGTGCTGCCAATCCCGCGGCGGACGCAGGCGTGGACTGAACACCCAATCACCACTGTTAGAAATAACTGTTTATATTTCTGTACCTATTGTATCAGAGCCGTCATTTTTTCTTAGTGTAATGTCTTGTTGACATCTGTACATAAACACACCACCAGGCCATAAGATGAACGCAAACTATCCAAGGACGTCTTGCTTTGCGCTTGAAATACTCTTATGAACAAAGAAAAAAAAACTTTGCCATGCGCTGCGTTGGAGTTCTAGTAAAATCGCTTGATAAATTTTACGTGTCTTCATTTGTCGTTATATGTTACGTCGTCACCTCCGGCAGGGGTGGAAAAAATAGGCGAGCACTGCTCGCTGAATGACGATTTGCTATTGAAATTTTGAAGGAAACCTTAACACCCATGTCCCGCTATGGGCGCAACAACATATGGTTGACAGACATTATCCCTTGAATTTAAAACCATGGTCAGCTAGAACACTATATGTTTATGCACGTACAGATTTAGCACAAAATTACTCCATTGGTCTCCAGGTTGTGTTCCCAGGAAGAAAATTCTTTTTTCCTGCCCTGACCTTAGGCATTTGTGTTACCATCTGGTCCAAATTTGAGCTTTTGAAATCTCATTTTGAGTTACTCATTGGTGACGGGATTTCTCAGTAGGTTGTTGCCGAATTGATAGGGGATCCGTCCGATCCGAGGTACCTACGATTTAACGTCCTTGTCCAAGAAGACGCGAAAGTCTAACATTTACTGATGTCAATGTAAAGGTAGCTCTTTCCCCTCCATTATCAATCTCGTCCCCAGAGCAATGCCTGTTCGCGGGCTAGGATGGCATTGGCTCTGGGGAAATTGAATTTTTCCTGTGCTGTGATTGGTTTAACGTTTATCAATCGTGCATGCCGACAAAGAATCGGAACCCCTAAATTTAGGGGTTCCGGTTGTCAATTTCCCCAGAGCCAATGCCATCCTAGCCCGCGCACAGGCATTGCTCTGGGTACGAGATTGCTCAATTATTTTAAAGACTGAGTAGAGGTCCGACCAAGGATTGAAACCGGGTCTCCCAGCTTGAATGGGAAATTCGCTCACCAATGGGTGGGAAACTCTATAATCTTGTTGGATATCAAGAAAATTCGGTATCGAAAAAATTGCATTTTTGACATGCACAAATTCCAGTTGTTGGATTCCGAGCCCACATGTTACATGTAATCCCCCCTGCTCTGGAAAATCAAAAATTTACAAATTTGAATATAGTCGTATAAAGAGACTACGAGTGAAAAAATATATTCATAAGATGCAGTATTTGGCGGTGCGAACCAAAAAGGTTGGGAGAGCCACTTTAAATAAATGGGGCGTGCCTGGGCTCGAACAAAGCGAAGGTCCGAAGGTGTTGGCTACAGTTGCAAAAGGTAAACAAAGAGGAGATGGCTGATTATCAAGTTAAAGTAGCCGGAGGAGACACGGTGGTACAACAGCCAACACAGACGTCCGATGCTGAAAATTATGTGTTGAACTTAGACCACGAAGAAGTAAAAAGTAAGGCACTAAAATATTTAGACTTGGGGGTGTTTTATATGAGCTGTGATTGTTGCCATGTTCAAACTTTACGACAAATTTTATATATCTCAAGACTAAAGTCTGATCTATTTCAAATGTTATAGCCCTGTGAGGCGTGAAATAAACGAAGTTAGCCCAACTGAGAGCTCGTATATGCAGTCAAAAATTATTTATTTCCTTCATGGCCTCGTATCCTATATCACGAAACTTCTAACAAATCCATTGGGAAAAAATCACGCTATATATTTGTGTTTTTTGTACACAAGCATTGTTGCAAATATATTTTGATCTTTAAAGATCATAGAATACATGCACCCAAAGTTGTTTCCAAATAGGAGCGGTTCTCTGCAGTTTTAAAAATGTTCCTAGTTCAATAATCTTGAAGGCTGCAATGTTTAATAATATTTTGCATATCATTGCAACTACATAGTATATAACCGAATCAAAGTAGCAGAAAATCGGTTATTTCTGAGGCCTAAATACTTAAATTTACGGATTTACCCGTTAAATCTCCTTCTGTTTGTTGTGAAAGACGATCTTTGTAATATTGTTTGTATGTTTGAGTTTTATTTTCCGCTTTCTATAAAGTGCATGCATGGGCAAAGCTTGAAAGGAATTCCTGCGATGCCAGCGCTGTTATGTATGTATCTAGAACGTTCTTTTGGTCTTTTTAATATTAAATCTCGGCCATCTTCAGATGGGAAAAACATGTATATAAAATGAATCTTAACTAGTATTTAAATGTAACAAATTACTATAAATTTCTGGTTGTAATTGCTACTATGAAAGCAGTTAATTATTAACCAGACAAAGTTAATATGTAATTGTACTTTATCAAAATATTTTATTTTCTCACAAGTTGATGAAATTTTTGAAACAATATATTGATAGCTAAAAAAGTAAAGTAAAGTAAAGACATGTGCTTTTCACATAACTGCTTTCACAAGCAGGCTTAGTTTTATTCTGTCTATTAAAATCTGCCTAAAACAACATAAAATTGCCTAAAGCTGTCACCACTGAAAAAAGTGCATTTCTTGCCAATATTGTGTCAGCACTTGCCAAGCTGAAACAAATAAACAGATTTGCTGGACCAATCATGACTCACAAATAGCAGCCATCATCTTATTCTGGATGGGGCATATTCTTTTCATTATTACCCTGGATTCCAGAGCCTTTGACAGTAAATAATAAATTGAAATGTCTCGAAGGCTCTGGTTCAATGGGAAGATTCTCTACTAAAACCACTAATTCTGTTTTGTGATTGGTGCGGTTTAATCAAAGAATCTTCCCGTTGAACCAGAGCCTTCGGGACGTTTCAATTTATTATTTACTGTCGAAGGCTCTGGAATCCAGGGTATTTCATTATGGGACTAGTTCTAAACTAGAACAAAATTATTTATTATAGCATGGTCCCCACAGAAAGTAGCTGATGAATTTCTGAGGAACATTGGCTTGCAGTATTTGGGCGAACAATTTGTTGGTAATAAGATTGGAGGAAACATATTAGCTTGCTTGACTGAGGTATGGTATATTACCAATATTGTGGATGCTTTCTGTCACAGGAAAAACATATAGTGGATGTACCTTCCTCTCGCACAAACATGTCATGTTTTCATAACAGTACAACTTCGATCCTGCCGGATATTTTGATGTGAACACATGGACTATTTCTGTGCACAAGGAAGCATTTGTGACATTACTTTGGCTATAATAATAAAAAAGCAATTTCATACACAACTAAAAATCTCACTCATTTATCAATCATCTTATTTTTTGCAATATACATTTCACCCAAAGACCAATGTGTAACTTTATTTTTGTAGTCTCATTTAAAAGAAATGGGCGTGTCAGTTCTGGGGGATAGGATATTCCTCCTTGAAATGGTGTCATACTTGAAGAGAAAGAAGATCGATGTAGCTCGTTCCCAGGCTCTGTGGACAGGACAGACGCCTGCGGCAGGTTGCCCGTACAAGAGGAACTGCACTGAACTTTGTTGTCCAGATGTCTTTTATGGACCCACCAGATGGAGGGTGACTGGTCAGGGAATTTTCTACAAAGACGAACCATCTTGCTGTTTCTGTTGTGGAACAGGTCTGATACTCGAGTATTTTTCTCATAGACACATTTACTATTTTCACTCGGTTTTTATCCTACAATGATTGGAAGTTTTTCTGCAATTATTAGCCTCTTTCTGCTGTCAAATTAAACATTATCTCACAGGCTTTTACTTAGAAGGGCGTCCAGGCATCCTGGGATGCCCTACAATGAAAAACGGACGCCTTTGGATGCCTAAATTTTTTTATTTTTGCTGCCGAGCGTAGCTCGGCAGCACACTAATCTCTACACGTGGTGTGCTTACCACGTGACCGCCGAGTTTATAGCCGCTACAATCTCGATTTATGTCATTCTGTCCTCCACGGACGGGCCAAAACTAGCTGTTTTGATATTATTTTTTTGTTCCCGGGGGGGTTTGTTCACAACATGGCGACTGTTATAAACGGACAGAAATATAAAAATCATAAAATAATGCGAATTTCCATAAAAATTCCGAGTAATATTTGTGAAGATGAATGGGTAAATAAAGCACGGTGTTATTTTGTGTCTCTGGCGCCAGAATGATCGACAATATTTTGAATAATTCAGGTAAGGATGGCTTTATTTCGTTCTCGTATAGTGATGTAGTCGTGCCGTGTGCCCTGTCTACCTGTCTGGTGATATATTTTATAATACATGAAGGCATGTATATTTAAATCTGCTGTTTATACTTGTTTAGTCACTTTAGTGTATTAAACTTCGATATAGAGGCATTGAAACAATATGATTTCAAGAATATATCGGCAATTATAATACCCACTGAATCACTGATCTATTCCCGACCAAATCGACAGTAATGATTAATGCCTTTAATATGCTGATACAAGAAGCAAATGAACTTTTAGTTTATTTGTTTGTTATGTTACTTAATATGTGCAAAGCCAAAGGCGGTGAGTGTATAATACTGTAGTATTCAGTACGTTCTATTTCTAGATGTTTATAGTTTAAAAACAAACGCGGGATGTTGTTAAAACAGGCTTAACAAGATTCCTAGAGCTACCCAGTGTGGATTGTTGTCTGCATATATGGACTTATCAGCAATTACATGTAATGTAGCATATCAACTGACTTTTGTATAAGATATGACTTGTATAAGACTGCCTTAGGTATATATAAAGCCTATAAACATGATTCTACTGACATACGTTGATATACATATGGCTGTGTTACCACAATAATGCTCACAACTTCAACTTCTTTCTAACAATATAGTTTTGCAGTTCTGACTGTTCTG